GCCACAACGCGCGGGCGGGGGGGGGGGGCCGCAGCCCGCGGGGGGGGGGGGGGGGGGGGGGGGGGGGGGGGGGGGGGAACAGACAGCTGGATGTCTGCCTCCTCCGCAAACGTCCTCACTTGACCACGGAGGTGACGGGTTACCAACAGCTGGAGAAACTGACTTGAAGAGATGGATTTCACAGAAGGTTTTACTGGACTATCTATTACAGTTACGCTGTGAGCGGTCATTTACGAAGCTAAGTATTACATACACCGAATGCAATTAACGTTGTAAAATAAATGTGTCTCTTCATCATTGTTTTAGATGCATTCAATTCAGCACAGAGCCAAAAGACACAAATTTAAAAAAAAGGTTAGGGGAGCAGAGTCTGCCTTCCCTCTGCCTTAGATCGTAAAAATGAAAACTATGCAGAAGACAAACATATTTAACTCCGGACAAGATAAACAAAAGCATACAAATAATCCGTTTCACTACCTTGTCAGTTGACTGTATTCGTGAACCCTTACCTGGTCCATCACTACCATCAGAAGGGTCCCTTGAGAGCAAGTGAAACTGAGACAGCCAGTCTCAAGGGTTGTTGCAGCTTCAACCGCAGCAGAAAAAAATATGGTTGCGATTGTTTGACTTTCTGAAGTGTCCTTATGGAACAAATTCAAAACAGAAAAGCACTCAACAAGCTGTCCCATAAAACACCACTCAATTGGTCTAAAAATAAAACCCGGTTTAGTGTTAATATCGATGTGTCTAATCATAATCCATCTTGACACAAGAGAGATAGATAGATAGATAGATAGATATCATGCGGAATTTATTCTCAAGAGTTATTTTTGTTTGTTTTGACAGCGTCTTTTGTCTCTTGTCTTTCAGAGGGAAGTGTACGTTTGTTCACTTTTTCCTTGTGTGTTAAACAAATCAGTGCATTCTTAATATCTGTGACTTGTTGCGTAATTAGTTATGCAAAAACAACACACTATAATTCAATAAATACTGATATTAACTGCTTGTCTGTAGGACAATGAAAAGTAAACTTCGTAACTTTATTCAAGCAGGGAGAATGGTTGTAACATGGTACCATGTTGGGCCTGATTGCGTTGCATCTCTGCAATGTCAATGCTGAAACAACCTCCTACTCAGCCCTGCATGAAGATTGTAATCAAAATATCTGTCAAACCTCAAATAGAAGAGAAGCCCCGTCACTGGTTCAACTCCTCCATATTACATTGTGTGGCGTAAACATAAGGGATTACAACAAAAGACAAATCCCTCTCATTGCTATGATCACAGAACTGTTATCATTTAAGTTCAGAACAAGCACAGCCTCTGGAACCAGAGAGTCATTGCTATATTTACCTGCTGATGCAGCAAACTCAAACACACTGTGTTTCTGTGTATTTGGGCATGGGGATGTTTAAGCCTGCATCAGCAGCAAAATTGCAATGGCAAGTGTATACACGCTGCTTTTCACACCACTGTGACTGAGGGGGATGGGAACGTGGGACTGTTTTAGGTGTTCGAAGGCCGTGGGCCCGTGATTCACCCTCAAACTATGGCTTAACTTTGAGGCGTCCCGCCATGAGACACGCTGTATAACACCTGAAGACAGGGAGTTGTTTCAGAACCCGTGGAACACCATCAGGAGATGTGCTGACAGTTTGAGTGAGCGCACCGGGGAGATCTGCTCAAAAACAAATAAGTAGTTGGAAAATACCTCCGTGCAGACATTTAAATGACTGACTAATCAGTGTCTTGTTTTTTCACCCCCTAAAGTCACGTGTTCGGTAAGGTAAGCTCATCTGGTCATGAGGTCTACTGTACCTCAATTTTTAAGCACATTTTTTGAAGTGTCGCAAAAAAGAACTAAGAATTAGGTGCGTTTTTATCAACTGGTTTGGAGCAAATAAAGTAGTCCGCGTAGTTTCGTCAGAAGTTGGCGCCATGTTCTATGCATGGCTGTAATCCGCAAGTAAACGGAGTAGAAGACGTAGAGGCTGCGACCCGGAGAACAAAACAAGTCGCCTTGGCTGTCTAACAAATGCACAATGGAAAAAAAAAAGGAGGGGAACTGGTTTCAACTGGGCCAGTTTTAATGGTTCTTTCATGTTAACTGGTATTGGCCATGCTTCATGTTGTCCCGGGACAAAGACTAGCATTAAAATAGGGTCCAGGTTTAAAAATACAGAAGAAAAAAACACTGATAGTAAAAATGTTTTTAGAGAAATGTTTTCCCTACGTACTATTTTGGTTCAATCTTGAATGTTTTTTTTAATTGAGGGGCTGATTATGGTGGTAGACAACATGACTCCAAGTTTAGATGTTTTACTCAGAATGACTCACGTCTGGTCCCTCTGGAGCATGTCCTCTCAGGTTGACGATGTGGACCTCCTGAGGGAGGCCCGTGGTGCCCCGGCTGGCGCAGCCGGACATGACGGTGAAGCTCCTGGACGTGGCCTGCACCGGGTGTCCTGTCCCCACCGGCAGCAGCTCACACGGGCTGCGAGACAACCGCCCTGTGGTGAAGAGAAGAAGAGTGTTGACTTGTTTATGTAAATTGTGTATGAGCTCTGGTGCACATTTTACTTAAACAAAATAATTCAGCAGATGCACTTTTCCCCAGTCCTCTATAATGTAGGTTTTTCCTCTCGACACAACGTAGCGTCTCTCAGTCTGACCACCTATGAGCTGAGTAACATGAGAGACATATAATCAACACACTGCATTCCAATTTGAATTCTCTTAAGGCAATTAAGTCTTCACTGTAATTCACATAACCTTGGAAATCCTTTTTGTAAGGACAAAACAAATAAATCACTTATTTTATTTTGATGAACACGATGATCATGACTCTAAATAGTAAATCCACTGCCGACATATTATTATTGTTCCCAGTATGGAATTTTGGCCAATAACTACGTCTGTTAAGGTGGAAATCTTTCTCTACTGTGACTGAATAACATTGACATCACTGGTAGACAGATACATTTGTAGCACTTTAAAAGGGAACTAAACATCAACGTCTGTGTACAGGTCTTGGGTAGTGCTGATGTATATGTGAATATAAGCTGTATAAAGACTTTAGTGTCTCTGCACAAAGTCGGACAATTGTCCTCAAGTGATGTCACTTGAGTCAGCCTTGATTGAAAAACAAATGTCTTGTGATGTGGAGTTAGAAAGAAGTGAGCTTACCAGACTGTAGCCTACATTAGCTGCTATTATTATAACACACTCCAACCCGGACTGTCGGCAGTCCTTTTGCATTGTGGGTAATGTAGGCCACAGATTTTGACAAGGAAGAGGAATGCATGGAATAAAAACAGATGATATCTCTGGTTCTGATGCACAAACATAAACACAGGTCTTAACTAAAGCGCTCGGCTGGCTGCTTCTCATTTTGGCAATCCTACGAGTAATGTCATCGGGTATCAAATCTGATTTGGTCCTAATTGTATCATCAGTGATCTTTATTGGCCATGAAATTCCATAAAAGGGTGAGGTATCATCTGTATTTTGCTCTATAGCAGCCACCACTACAGAAAACAGTAAGTGAGCAAAGCAGCACTCAGCAGGGTGCACGCACACCGACGCTCAGTCAGTCGGGTGTCTATCAGTGTTTTGTCTACCGCACAGTCAGCTGTAATGAACAGTGCGGTGACCAGTGAACGCCTGGGCTCCTTGGCTCACACAAATAATTCACCGATGTTTACAGGAAGGCACTCAACGTTCACATTTGCTCTCACATGATATGGAACTTCCGTTTCAGCCACAAGCTTTCAGGTGGTTATCAGCTCTTTCTTTAGTGTGAGCTTCTTCATGTTCTACGTCTGTATGATGTACTCCACTTACTCACATTCAGGGTGTAACACAAGTATACACCCATCTCACATGAAGCCAGGGTGGCACAGAAACACAGCGCTGAGGTTTGAGTGAGGCACCGAACAGCCCGTTTCCATTAGAGAGTCATGTATACTGCGAGAACGTCAGCGGCCAAGTATTTTTTCTTCACGAGGTCAGACCTTGTGTTTTAGGCCACAGTCCTGTGCCAGCCGAGGCCCCACTCACATTTCAAACACATCACGCTAAACACGCAAAAGGTTGCCAGTAGCAATCAGATGGGACATTTGGAAATGATTAAAGTCTGAGTGAAAGACGGTTAGATAACAATGTTTAATTCTCCCCCGACTGACTCCAAAATCACGGTGCCTCAACAGTGGGGGACAGCTAAGGGGGAGACTTTTTTTGCTGTTGTTGTTGCTCAGAACACACAGCTATTGTTTTTCTCTCTTCCGTGCGTTCCAATAAGCCTATGGTACATCGGCATAAAGCCAGAGATTATGTATGGATAGCTCCCCTCTCCTTGTGAGAAAAAACAAAACAGGCTTCATTGTAACCATATTTGTCTCTTGAGACAAATCCCAAGCCCTTGACAGATGTCTCAACCTGAACTTTGTGCCACCTCTTATTGGGAGCATACATATATAATAAAGCAAGCCATGGGTCTTTTTATGGTGGACAAGGACAAGGTTTGTTAATGGCAAAAACCTGTGGTGCATCAATATTTCAACCCCCGCTTTAACCCCCTCCCTCCCTTTTCCTCCCAAAGGGCCGGCGTCAAACCATGTCATCAGGACTCACTCCCACAAACACGTCTGAGGGCACTCCAACTCACTTTTTCCCCTCACACACGGAGAATAACAAACAACTGCCAGACAAAGAAAAACGCAGTTCTTTCTGGGAGACTGCCAACACTTCACAATACGCATTGAGCAATGATCGGATTTTTTATTTATTTTTTTATGCTTAAAAATACAACAGAAAAGGGTGGCGTGTGGGAGAAAAGAAATGTGCCACATGGATAGAAAAGTAGGACATTCAAAGTTTAGAATCTAAGAGAGGCAAGTACCTCATAGGCATTTATGACATTATCCAGATATTCATGGTCCCCAGAAGATGATCCCTGATGATAACTGATGCCAGGTTAACACTGGTCTGCCGATTCTGCTCCTCAGCTGCTATCCGTCTCTCAGTCTGTTTGCGTGTGCGTGTGCGTGTGCGTGTATCTCCTCGTCACACTCTCCATTTATACACAACTGAGAAAATATGTGGAATAAGAATGTAATTTATGCAGCAAAATCACAAACATCAGGGACACGAGACTATTCCTGATAAATACATTGGATGGATTTTGAAATTGAATGGAACGGTAAAGACCGATCAGAAGATCGCTGATCGATAGCCACCGATACTGCTTCCAGCAATCGGCCCCAAAAATCCTGATCGAAACCCCCTCGGAGTCACCTTTAAATAGATGTAGCTAACGCTTTTAGCACAAGGTTGTTCACATCCTCAGATACAGAGCAATATTAGTTTATATTTGGAGTCGTGTTTATTGGCATCTGAGGAATAAAAGTCTGCCGTTCAGCGCTGGGCAGGTACAGTGAGCCTGTCAGTGCTATTACCCTAAAAAACAGCCGCCTGTTGCATCTGGTAACTACGATCATGAGAGCCGTGAGACTGAACTAACAGGTAAATTGCGGTACAATTAAACAAAAAAAACATGAAAAGCAATCATATTTTATATATGTATATTTGTGTTTCATCAAATAATCGTTTAGATTCACTTGATGCCTTCAAATTAACCATGCCCCTTTACTTTATTAGATCAGGCCTCCATCACTCATTCAACTGTTCTATCCAGTTCCATCACAGATGTTATTACCATCAGCCTACAGCCTCAATGGACAGAAAAAAAAAAAAAAAAAAGTTTAAAAGGAGAAAAAAAACAAAAAAACAAAAAAAAAAAACGCTTGCAAGTGTTGGCCGTGCCACAGCTTTGTATCTTCTGTCACCTTGTCTGTCCCTCTGCCTCTCTCTCCACCCCCCCACCCCCACCGCTTCTGTCTCCCCCTCCTCTCTCGCCATGTTTCCTCGGCCATCGATGGAGGACAGAGTTTGTCCTGTCCAGCTCCTACGAGTGCCTTTTAGCCGGCCAGGCCAAACGCCCACAGCGGAGGAATGAGAGACGCTGTTGTTTGGTCTGCCTGAAAAACAAGTCCAGCCAGACACTCTGACTATAACACCAGCACCGCCTTAACCAAACAGATACTGCCAAACGGGAAGTTAAATGGGATACTCCAGCTGTAACAGTAATCTCTCAGATTTATTGAACGTCTTCAGAGTCATGAGAGTACCAACTGTCTGAAAGATGAAGGGCAGAGAGTGTAACCCTGACTATATCCTGCAAGGAAATGTGCAAAAACTACAAATCTGTTGTGTCCATCTAGACGCCTTTTTAGCTTGCAGCTCACCACTCCTGGTACCTCAGTTTAAAATATTATGGTAAACTTACTGGACAACTGTATTGTGGTAAGCTACAGACTAATACCTCCAAACCTCAGCTTGATACATGAAAATTATGAAACGTGATGTATTACCAAAAAGGTGATTGCAGTGCACGTTTTGGGCTTTACATTCATTTTGCAAACACTGGACTAAAGCGGTGAGGTGCTTCTTTTCCCCAAGATCGGGCAAAATCTGATCTGTGGTTTCCATCGTGGCATAAAGACGAATGATCCGATACCTTCATTATACTGTAGATCGATCTCAACCCAGCCAAGCAAAGCAGACAATCCACAGAAGAACACAAAACAGGAGAGCTCCATCTACCAATTTCTTAACTTTTAATTCATTCTGTTGACAGGCATGGAAGAAAAAAAATACATTAACATTAATTTAACTACATTTCTGTAGAGATCTGTATTTTTTGTTGTTGTTATATTTGCAAAGTTAAACTTTTACATTATGTCTTTTTAGAGTCTCAGAAATGTTTAAATCTGCTCTTTGAGCTGTGCATGCTGGGATTTGTGACTCAGTTTAACCGGGGAATGATCTGACACTCTGAACGACTGGGTGCCACCCACCAGCTTGTTCTGCTCAGCGGTACATTTCTAATAGCTGCCATATCAAACAAACAAAGGATCGGATATCGATCGGACTTTATCAAAATATGCTCGTTATCGCCAGCTATTCAGAAACCCCTGCAGATCACCTCGTCTCGTCTGTGCAGGTCCACAATCCATTAAACCTTAAAGGTCTGTTGTTGAGGGTGGGGACTGACTTTTTTGGGGTCAGCAATGCAGCATTTCAAGAACTCTCAGGTGTAAAACCACATCGAAGTGTAAGAGGAGTTCTGTGGCTTCAGCTGTGAAAGGGACAAGTTAGAGGGAGATTTCTGGGTGGAAAAAAATAACTTTCATCACCCTATCAGTTTCCACTACAGTTTGCCCAAACAACGTTATCTTAATACTTCTTTAACTTACTGGTTACCGTAAACATAGCTAAAGCATATTACACATCCAATAATAGCTGCTTAACGATACTCAGTATCTGGTATAAAAGTAAGTGTTGGATCCCGACACACATTGTAATAAAGACCCTACTGTATAATAATTTCACATTTTACCTGTCTCACTGTGCAACATAGAAGATAAATGAACTGGAAAATGCCAAAATA